GGATGGGATGGGGATGGGATGGGGATGGGGATGGGGATGGGGATGGGGATGGGATGGGGATGGGATGGGATGGGATGGGATGGGGGGATAGGGTGGAGAGGACAGAGATGAAGGATAGGGGACAGGCACAGGGGATGGGGACAGGGATGGAGGAAGGGGACAAGGGTGAGGGGGATGGGGACAGAGGATATGGACGGGGACAGAGATGGAGGATAGGGGGCCGGTGCCGGGGGTGGGGGCAGAGAGGACAGAGATGAAGGATAGGGGACAGGCACAGGGGATGGGGACAGGGATGGAGGAAGGGGACAAGGGTGAGGGGGATGGGGACAGAGGATATGGACGGGGACAGAGATGGAGGATAGGGGACAGGTGCAGGGGATGGGGACAGAGGATGGGGGGATAGGGGACAGACACAGGGAATGGGGACGGGAGAAGAGGGGATAGAGCAGAGGGGACAGAGATGGAGGACAGGGAATGGGCACAGAGGTTGGGGACAGAGGGTAGGGACAGGGGATGGGTGGAGGAAGGGGACAGGCACAGGAGATGGGGATGGGATGGGGGGATAGGACGAAGGGGACAGAGATGGAGGATCGGGAACAGGTGAGGGGAGATGCACAGCGAGTGGGGACAGGACAGGGATGGAGGAAGGGGACAGGCATGGGGGACAGGGCAGAGGGGACAGAGATGGAGGATAGGGGACCGGCACATGATGGGGACGGTGGGTAGGGACGGGGAACAGAGATGGAGGATAGGGGCCAGGGGTGGGGACAGGAGATGGGACAGGGATGGGGACAGGAGACAGAGATGGAGGATAGGGGACGGGCACAGAGAGTGGGGGCAGAGGATAGGGACAGGGGACAGGGATGGAGGAAGGGGACAGACATGGTTTGGGGACAGAAGATGGAGGATAGGGGACAGCGGTGGGGGGAGAGGGGACAGGCATGGGGAGGGGGACAGGGGAGAGGGGACAGGCACAGGGGATGTGGATGGGGACAGGGGTGGGGGGAGATAGGACATGCACAGGTTATAGGGACAGAGGATGGAGGACAGGGGACAGGGATGGGGTGGACAGGTGGAGGAGGGCAGAGGATGGAGGACAGGACAGGGATGCAGGGCATGGGGGTTGGGGACAGGGGGTGGAGGACAGGGGATAGGGATGGGACAGGGGGGTGGGGACCAAGATGGAGGACAGGGGAGAGAGGACGGGGGATAGATGATGGTGGTTTGGGGCTGGGGCACAGAGGACAGGGCTTGGGGATGTGGGACATGGCCCGAGACATCATAGCGAGGATGGGGACAGGGGTGGGGGATAGAAGACAGGGGATGGGGACAGGGGATGGGAGTCTTGGGACAGGGGATAGGAGATTTGGGACAGGGGGATCATGCCTGGGGACAGGGGTTAGAGATAGGGGACAGGGCCTGGGGAGAGGGACAGGGCATGGGGACAAGGTTGGGGGGACACTGATGGTGCCCAGGGCTGCAGGAGGGGCACAGGGAGCAGAGGGCACAGCAGGGGGACGGAGTGAGGGGGGTGACAGCACAGCGGTGGCAGGTGGGGCACAGGGATGGGGCGTCCCGGTGGGGCTGGAGCGGGGTGGGCTGAGCTCAAAACAGGGTAAAACTGGGATTGTGTGGTGGCACCTCAAGGTCACGGACTGTAAATGAGGTCGTTGTACCGCCAAAGCGCTGATACGCACTGCAATTAGTCACCCACCGACTTCCAAAGCAATCAAAACACTACTGCCTCAACTTTTTATTACAAACATCGAAAATCCATGAGTCTGGTCGGACCCGCGCATGAGTTAACCATTAAAACCTGAGCAAACCCTTCCCGGCCCGTGGCCCTTCCGACTTATCGACCGGATTCAGCGTGTGAAAGTACGGTTTGATTTTACGGAGCGATTAGCCATGTTAATAAACTCTCGGTTTTATCAAGAATCTCCCCGTTGTCGCCGCAGGTCATCGAGCCGTCGTCTGACAACGGCGTTGACTTCTGTGCAGGTGTTTGTGAGGAAGGGAAGACGCTTCCCTTTGTTTACTCAACTTTCTCGCTGAAAAAGAGCGAGCGATATAAAATTAATACAGCCTGGGTGAAAAAAAAACAATAAAACCCAGGGGAAAAACCCCACCGTAAACCTCACCGGGTCATCACGTCCGCTTGTGTGTCGAGCACGCGGAGCAGCACCCGGTTCGCTTCGTTGGGGTGGGATCGTCGCCCCGGCCGCCGGCTTCGGGAGTGCTTCTCCGCGTCTCTGCCCTTGGCAGCCAAAACTCGTATTTTGCACCAACATTGTGTGCGTACGGAGTTATTTCCTTTTTTTTTTTTTTTTTTATGATTAAACGTCCACTTCTTGCCCGGAGATCAAAGCCAAATGCCCTTCCTTTTTGGCTTGCCGCGGCGCTGCATGCGTAAGATGAGGCGAGTTGTGTGTAATAGGTCTGGGACCCTCGTAAATAAGACGGCAGAGATGAGCGCGGTTGCGTCACCGGCGTATTTACTGCCGATATCCTGCTTTTGAAGCAGGGAGGAAATTGGTATGGACGGGAGCCATGGATGGCTCACGTTTTATCCGTCTATCGGCCTTTGAGGATTTTTTAAGGGTTTGTTGTGGGTTTTTTTCTCTGTGATGGGGTAATTTGCTCTCCTGTCGCACCTTTTCCTTTGGGTACCTTAATCGTTGGCCCAGTCTCTTGAATCCTCACCAGTTCCTTTGATTGCCGAGCCCATTTTTCTGGCCGCAGAGCCTCCCTCGGGGGGGGGGTTGGAGCTGAAGTCACGGCTTAATGGCAGGAAGGGGAGGGGAGGACAAAGGTGGTGGCCGTGAAACAGGTGCCTGGCAAGAGGGACTGTCACAGCTCACAGAGAGCTACAGATGGACGCAAAGGGCAACGTCTTGGCTCCGCTAAAGTCCGGGACAAAATTCCTGTTGACTTTGGCAAAGCCGGGATGTCACAGAGAGGTGACCGAGCTGTCCCGGTGGCATAGGCAGAGCCAGGAACGCGGTGGCCAGCCCCTCGCACCACCAGGTAGGGGGATCCCCTCTCCAGCAGCCCCAAGCCTTGCAGCAAAATCCCTTTTTTTTTTTTCTTTTCCAAGTAAATTGTACTTGGGAGCCGCAGCAGCACCAGGGCCGATGGCTGCTCTGGTTGCGTGTGCTAATGACACAAAGATTTTGAAGCACGCAGGAGTTCGGCGTGTGGGCTAGAGTCCAGTTGTACCACGGGCTACGTAAGCTGAGAAGAAAAAGCCTATCCTGAAGCCATCAGAGCAAAGAATCACAGAATCACAGAAGGGTTTGGGTGGGAACAGACCTTAAAAGCCATCTAGTCCAAGCCCCTGCCATGGGCAGGGACATCTTCCACTAGACCTCATCCAACCTGGCCTTGAACACCTCCAGGGATGGGGCAGCCACAGCTTCTCGGGGCAACCTGCCCCAGGGGATCACCGCCCCCACAGCCCACA